ATGATCCCTCGGGGCTTGGGAAACATCATCTCGGCAGACGCACGCCACGCAAGTGCCAGCGAATCACAAAACACGCTGTCAGCAGATATCAAACAAAACCTCGACCTGCCTAAATCTCTCTGTCCGCTGTTCAAAATACTACAGCGGCCATCGACAGTAGTTGGGTATTTCCCGCAATGATGCAATCTTTCGCTCGTGACACTCGTACGGGTATGTTGCATGCAAGTCACCCTCATGGTTTCTTCACATTAAACAATATCTGGACTGAAGTTTCTGCGTGTTACATACGCATGCTAACAGATGAGACCACTTCCATGCGTGCTTCGGCTTATCATGATCCCAAATCAGCTGCCGCATCCCTCTCCGTCAGCAAGCGCAAGTTGCCCTTCAGAGCAGACCGGCTGCACATTCCCGTGCGTATGACAACTCAAGACGCCACTGCCGCATGCCGCTTCGACGTTGTGGAACAAACAAGAAAATATCCTTGGCGGGTCAAGCATCCAAAATTGGGTTTTACTTTTGCTTTCCTTGTTGTGAGAGAAAGAGCTCCGATTGATCTGGAATTTGCGGCCTTGTCCACAAATCAGCGCAAACGGTCCACCTCGAGAATCCACACGAGTGAGGACTTTCACATCAGCGCATGTACTTTTCAAACCGTGCGTGTCACGGATGTGCATTAGATTGCTTTGCTGTGCCGAATAGAAGCCAGCGTACAGTACCAGGTAAATGTGTGCCCTACCAGCCTTTCACAACGTCACCACACAACTCGCGTGCATGAGACATCACAACAGCCAAAAAACAAACAAACAGTAACCTGCAACCTGAAATTGGTTTGTAATCTTATAACTTTTAACAGGCAATACCAAGCAGCAACCTACTTTTAAACAACCCAAAAGACAAACGGCTACGATAAAACCCAGACACAACGTCTGCGAAAAGCCCGGAAGGCAGTTAGATACCGCAACTGTTTTTGATTGAAATGAGAGCATGTCTACGAGGCTTCGAACCTGGATCCGGCAACTTGGAGCCCAAGACACGGGCAACATATCGTACATCTTCGCACGGACGCACACTTGGAGCCCAAGACACCGGCAACAAATCGTGCATCTTAGAATGGGGGCACCACATGGGAGAGGAGTGTTCATGCATCACCACCGACACTGTCCGACTGGATCCATCAGGATCCATAGAGTAGACATCGGAGCTTACGAGGCATCTCCCACGGAGGAATCCATGCACCTTCATCTTGCCTGCAACCGTCCATGCGAGAAGAGATGCGCTGGATGCTCTGTGCTGCTGTGGCTTCGAAGGGTTTGCACCGGTCAGAGCCGGATCCAATTTTTCCCTGATGTTCTCCAGCAGGATTCATTTTCCAAACTGGATTCGGATGCAAGATGTCGAGCAAGCGAAGAAAAATGCGCGGCACTCTGAGGAGGCGGCTCCACCGTCTGCGATGGGGTCCCGGAGCTTGCATGTTCCTCAGAAGCTGCAGGCGTAAAGGACAGAGCAGCCGGTTGGGGCTGGCGCCCCGCCTACTTTCCTACCAACTGCTTATAGAACTTGTCAACTGCTCAGATGCGGGCCCATCCTCTGCTGACCGGCGATGTTTTCATAGAGCTTGATGTACTTGTTGGCCTGTTCAGGTTAAAGATATGCAGCATATCACTCAGAAGAGGGGAGACGCCACCGATGATTTTCCCCATTGCTCCATGAGCCAGACAGCTTCATGCCTCTCTCTGCAGATCGATCATCAGTGGCCATCGCCTGCAACGGACCGAGACTGGGGCTGAATCGCAAACCGGGACAGCAGTGCTGGTATGCCAAAAACGAAGAAAAGAAGCGAACCTCCATGCAAAGACATGAATGCGATCAAAGGCAACCGAAAAGACTTGGGCATGCCAGTCGAGCCTTGCAGTCGCAATGATGATTCCGTTCCCAGCCGACAGATTGTCATTGGGAAGGCCGCAAACAGCCCACTGCTGGGTAACAACCTGATCTGCAGAGCAACTAAGCCTTCCGTTGTGGGCAATCACCTACACAGAGAAGCTCCTAACAACTTCGTTCTCCCCCTTGAGGACACTGCCGGCTGACCAAGGTCATGGACAAACCTCGCCCACTTCTTGTGTGTGCAGTGTTGCCAGAACTCTCCAGCGAAGAGGCCGGCGAAGTTTGCAGCTGAGCTAAAGCTAAGCGCTGACTCTGACCCACAGCAATCCGGGAGTCTCTGAGGAAGGACAACTGCCGTCTGAGGCTGCGTCCAAGGTGAGCCAAGGCGTCCACTGGCCCTCGCGCTCGCCCAGCGCGCGTTGGTGAATGGTATAGCAGCATTACTTCTGCTAGCAATCGCACCTCTATCTCATAAACGTAATCATACCTTGCGGGACCCGTTGACACCCAGCAAGATGGTGGCAGAGCCAGCGCATGGCTGCTTTCCACTTGCATGACAGGCTGCCCACCTCTGAGCTGCCTGGATGCCCGATTCTTGCACGAGCTCCCAGAGCCTGTCCTTGCGAGGCCCAAAGCCAGGCTTGCTGTGCCGAATTGGGAAGGACGACAGGCATCGGTTGATGCGGGAGTTTCCGAAAATGAGGGGTACCTCATTTCGGGGTCTTTTTAATAAGGATCCTACTATTTAGGGTACTAAAATAGGGTCCCCTATTTTCCAAAACTATAGCATCAGTTTCCCATCCGACCCTCGGCTCGAGCTCTCTTGAAGGCTCCAAGGCGGCCTCGCTGTTCCACACGATGGGCAGGAAGCATGCTTCCCAAATACCTGCCGCAGAACATCTATTCATATTTTGTCTTTCATATATATTTTTTTGATTATTTATTTATTTACTTATTTATTTACTTATCTATTTACTTATCTATTTACTTATTTAGTTATTTGTTTATTTATATGTAGTGTTTATGTATACTTATCTAGTTGCATAATATTCATGTTTGTATCTCTATATATGATCACAGTGGTAGACTGGTAGAGCAGCACGACCACCATGACCAAGACGACCGCTCCAAGACGACCGTGACCACCAGGAGTCCACGAAGAGCCCGGCAGAGATCACCAGGAGACCGGACCACCCAAAAGATCACCAGCACACCTCTCCGACAACTTCTCTATGCGAGCACCATAAAAACACGAGGACCACCGCCGGGGAAGTTCCCCCTGCATTGATAGGATTCAGCGCTGCAGAAACACCCAGAAGGCACCGCGGGCATGACACTTCCCCCCCATGTATTGCCCAGAGTCAGACGTTTTAACCCCACAGGCTGTACCACGTTCGCATTGGGGAATCATTGCCATCCATAAGTAGAATTTTCCACCATGCTCTGCCAATACATCATGATACAAGAAGCAGCGCACCCGTTCATCGAATCCTCACCGTTTTGATCTGATCTTCGTAGGATTCATGGATGCCAGGTCAATCTGAGAACCCTCGACATTGCTTCAGATGCCATGAGAAGCGGCTAGGACACCATGCTCTTGTGGTTGATGCACGCATCGTTTGGGCCTGGCACCGCGAAGTCATGTCCCACTATCTCCAGACTGTGTGATAGGATGGTTGTCAGACAATGCCTACGGCCTACACTTCCTGCGGCTTCTGAACAGGCTTCATTCTGGCGAACCGAGGTACGCCCTCACTCAGTGTAGCCAGGCTCCGCGCATTGCCAGTCTCCATCCATGCCGCCCTGCTAGTGGCGGTGCTGTGAAGGGAATGACGCGAATCCATTCAAACTTATGTAAGCGTCCTAGATCGTAGTAATCAAATTTCGGAGCCTCAGCTAAGCCGGTCAATGCAGCACCTGAACATTGCTGTAACGCGCGGCTTTTCTGCCTGGGAGCCTTACGATGACAGGAATGTTGTGCGAAGCATCCGTTCCAGTCTGGGTCCGAGGTTTGACGAAATCAACACTCAGGCTGCAAGGTCAGCTAGATTAGATGGTAGCCATACCTGCCCCACACACCCCAGTGTCCCACCTGGCCAGACATCGCAGCCATGGCCTGCACTTAAGGCGCAGGTTCTTGGAGTTGCAGCCACAGGGTTCAGGGCTTCCAATCCCCAATTGGCATTCTCCGTCATTATCCAGACTCCGGGATCTCCGAACCCTGTGTCTACAGCGCACATACCCGTCTATGCGCTCAGCTTGTTGTGAGCGGCTGTTCAGGGTGAGTCCCAGGCAGGGTTTACGGCATGAGTCCTGCATGGCAACCGTTCGCGCGCAGAGAGGGAACCAACCTGAACCTCTGCAACGACAGGCTCTGATAGACACCGTGCACCTGAACTGCACAACTCGTTGAGAACGAGACTGAAACCCAAGCAACTGCTGCGCAGCAGACCTCTTGAAATTGCCTAGAGCGTACCTCAGCTTTATGCATAAAACGAAAGAGCACGGCCTGTGCAAAGCCCGCGAAGGAGGAGAAGTCCATGCCACCACCTCTGCCACCACCGGATGCCTGCACTTGTAGCGGAGCTGCCAGCTAACCATCATCGGCAGTACAGGGCTGCCGGAGCTAGGAATTTCATGCGGCATGTCCTTATTGCGAGCCTCTCGTGTGAACTCACAACATACCCTTCACCCGGAAACGTTTCGCCCGAAACGGGAATGGAGCCGGTTTCGGTCCTCTCAACATTAACCTGGCATGACTCACGGAAGCAAACTGTCTAATCACAACTGACATCCATGGCATCCCGGCCTTAGATGCCCCGCATTGGGGGCACGTCGCCTTCAAACACCCACTCTGGGGTTTGAATTGCAAGGAAAAACTCGGTTCTCGTCTTCTGGCTTGTCCGCACTACAAGGCCCCAAGTCCTAGAGAACCTCTGACCTGTCGTCCTGAATGCCCTGGCAGGGCATTGAGGGGAAAATGCATTCGCTATTCGTGCACACCGCGGCATCATTAGTCACCTTAACTGGAAGGAGCACGGATCGCTGATGATTAGCTTGCGAACGTCTTCATCGGAATCCACCGAATCGTAGCCGGAGTCTACTTCAAACAATCTCGTGATTGGGGGGAGGCCTGCTTGGCCGGGCTTGGGCCTGAGCCCTCACGATAACTCCCCGCGCGACCCTGACTACTGAAGTCTGGTTGAGACTTTCAGGCGCAAGGCGGGATGTCTTCTTGAGCCAGTGCCTGGCACAACAGCGGTTCCTGCATGTTCCTGCAAGCTGCGGGCACTTAGGTGACCGTGGCCCCAAAGTGTGAGGACCTGGACTCCTCCTCGCAGCAACCCAGAGAACGCTTAAGATCATTTACAACAACAACTTCGCAAATCACGAACTCCTGAGCCTAAGGCTGTAAGGAGGGGATCCGACTGTTGTGGGGACCATGAACCACCCCACCGCGACCGCGCCTTGGACCCAAAGACCAGCCGCGTGTGGTTCACACATCCCGTATTCGGGCACCTGCAAGGCAAAAAAAACAACCTTTGCAAGCCAAGAAGTATCACCATGTGCAACGCTGTCACCGCCACAGACCATGAACTGGATCACGAAGGAAGAAACGCTGACTGCCGAAGCTCGTCAACATGAACACTGAAAGCCTCAACTTGCTTGTCTTTCAATTAACGAACGATGAACCCCCCGAAATCACTAGCTGTGCACTACAGGCCCACGACATGAACAACCTGCATCGAACTCGGATGCGCAGAAGCCAAAACAAGCCAACGGCTAACACACGAAATTCCGTTACCCATAACAAAAGCCGGATAGCTCAACATGAAGATGTCGACCACTCATAGTCATAGTGAAAGAATCTGCACGCTCTAACCTTTCCACCAGGCCACGCCCAGTCTTGATTTCCTGCCATGGCCTGGGCGGCTGCAAGCGTGCCAAAGTTCGGCAGAGTTCGGCAGTGAGATCGTCTGACAGTGCCATATCATGCGCAGCTGTGTCGGCCAGTACGTGTTTGGGCCGTAGTTGCACGTCACTGCCTCCGGCACTCGTCCTAAATGCTATCGGCGCTTCAACGCCACGATGCTCGGCAGGTCACGCACACTGCTACTATGACACACTCGCTTTTCGTGTCGAGAAGCCTGAGGCCGGCACTCGCGATGGGCGTGGCTCCGCAAGCGACCACCGTAAGAACGGCCACTAAATCAAAGCCGAAACCGGCAGCGAATGCGGTGGTGCCTCCACATTTGACATGAAGCGCGCCAGTGACCCCGCTTGCAACTACACTCTTTGCCGCGTTCCGATCTGCTTGTCTTTGAGCGCCCAGGTGGCGCTGCGGCAAAAGACAGCACTGACATCAGAGTGCAACCATCATGTCAGATCGCACTCCTCTGCAATACAGGCAAGGGACACACAGCGTTGGTTACCGCAGTTCATCTTAAGCGGCTGTTTCGGCAGTC